GCTGGCTAACCGCCTGGTATGTTATCTGTGTATTCATCCTTCTAAAATCTAACTCCATGGTCTATTTGCCCAAGGACATTTTCTTGTATAATGTCTCTGATTTGCCCAATTTCTACTCTGTATTCACTGTGGACGAAGACACTTTCGAGGGACCGACGAATCTGGCCGATATGGGTCTGGACGACCATCAGCTAGAAACACTTGAGGGTACAAACAGTAAATTCAAAAAGTAAAATCACCTGTGAGTTTGTCATGGGGTCATCTTAAAGGCATGTTTCCATTGATACAATAATATGCGCTAAATCCACGTACATAACATACCATTGATTGTAAATCATATAATGACCTATAAAGTTAAGGGTGCCCTAATTCACCTGCTAATTCCGACCCACCCCTAATACCGAACTAGTTTGAAAAATCCTTGTTGCGGCGTTATGCATGGGAGCACGTGCCTAAAAATAATCACAAGAATGGACAATGTTTTTGTGTTGATATCGGTTTGAATGCAGGTTTTGCTTTTCAAACAGCCACTTTGGAGCAAGTCAAGTAATACGTAAAAGAGGACTTGTTTGGGACAGAAAACAGTTGTAGATTGTTTAGTCATAATTTGTGTATTATAATTTCTAAACTCTCTTCTCAGATCGACCTGTGTTAAACACTGGGTCGGAATTAGGGCACCCCTGTTGCGATAGAACGTTCCACCGGCAAAATGACAACAAAAAACTGCCGTGCGTTTCACGAACCATTACGCTTGGGTGCAAGGCGCTACACTCAAGTGAAATACACAGCTGTGCAGCTTTAATCATTGTGATCTTTATCTGCCAATATTATAGCTGATGTTGCGCGGGTTTTTGGTCAGATAAACTATTACCAAAGGTATGTGCGTTTGCATGGAACATAGGTCGGAATTAGGGCACCCCCCGTTATAACAACAGTAGACAGGCTCTGGCAAAATCACAGTTTTGAGGATTCAATTAAGGAAACTGAAAACTTTATTCCAAAGATGTTTTGAGTACACTGGTTTTAAAACATCCGTATTATGTATGTCCATCAACCCTAGAGAACTGTATTCTAAGGGTGAGAATGTGCACAAGGTACTAGGATGTTAGGTAATATTCATATATACACAAGAGATGAGAAACTGAAAAATCAATCTGCAATCTTATGCAGTAACTTGAAAATACTGAGATGTACGGTTACAAACTATAATATGAAAGTGAGTTTTTGGACTTTGAATTCTTTAGTTAACTTGCTAGATGGTGAAGGTCTCCTTGTCAATGTCCATGGGGTCCAACAGCTCCAGGTCAGGAACATCGTCCAAACAGGCCTCCTCCTCAACAACACCTCCAGCTGACACACTGCAGAAACCAACATCATTTAAGATGTTAGAACACTGCAAACTGGTATATTCAACATGGCTTTATTGGTCTGTCACAGCTGAAAACGGAATTAAAAACCAAACTATCTATAATACAGGACATCTCAATACAAGAGACCACAGCGCCAGGTGTATCCATCAAAATTTTTGGATCACAAAAGTCATGGAAAAAATGGATACAATGCCATACCTGACTTGACCCATATCATGATCAGGATCCCAGTTATGAAGTTTTTTGCGCCATTCCTTAATCCGTCCATCCCACGCACGTCGGCTACACACAGCAAACTTAGTGGGAGTCCACGGATCATCCTTTTTACGGCCATGTCTGAAAGAAAAAGATGCATTGACATCTCTTCTCAACCTGCCACAGTATTTTCAACAAAATTGGCCTGAATGTTTGAGAACCTCTGGTATGTTTGAGGTACATGTAATTTGTCTTGCATCTAGTCTTGTCTAGTCATTCTCAAAACAAAGGATGACATAAAAATTATTTCCATACAAATATCCACCAACTTGAATAGAGCATAAAACATAACGATAGTATTTGGACTTTTCAATCCCCATTTTCTTACACATTTCCCAAGAAATGCCCACCCTTACATGTTTCTGTGGTGTCGATTAGAGCGTTGAATTACTAGTAATAGGTCCCGGGTTCCATACTCACTGTGGCCCGACGTTGTGCCCTTGGGAAAGGCACTTTACATGACTTCCCCACCTGTACAGTGGAGTGATGCCCACCGAGCCTCTTAGGCTAATCTGTTTGTGTTCCAAAAACACACTACGGATTTGGTGTGCCAATGTGTCAACATCAGCACATTTGCCATTGAGAGCCGTTAATAATAAAATAATAAGTAACAATTCCACGTTTCTGGTGCTAGTAATGTATGGCCTTCATGCTTACCTGGGAATGTTCTGGCTGTAGTTGTCGTACGCCAGTGTGTTTTTGCCATAGTCAATCTGCTTCTGTCTCCTCATGAGAGTGACTTGGTCAGTCTCACAGATGGTTGGGTTTGGATTACTGTAGAGACAACACGTAAGCTTCAGTACATGTACAATATTTAAAAATGTCATTTTGTATATCAATATTACTATTAGTAATACAACTTCAGTCTATGTGGTTCATTTCACAGTACAAAATACATCAATATTATGATAAAAATAGTTAAAGGTTCCATGTAACTTTCAACTACAGTACATGTTGCACTTGCATTTTACCTGTTGTTTTGTGGGTCGTCACTTCCTGTGGAGTTAGACCTATGATGCTTCCTCTTATACCTGTGAAAAACACAGCAGTCACCACTGTTTGACTCATGAGACATACAATGTACATAACAAAGAAAACAACTTGAACTAATGCAAGCTACTCTTTTCAAGTCCTCATTACTTCATATCTAACGTTACATGTAGATGTCTCTCCGAAGATACATTTGTAGTTTCACTTGCCCAACCCATAAGGTACTATTAAACCTGTTATCTCACCGCTCTAGTTCATCCTGAATGATGCTGGTCTGTTTCTCAAACTCCTCTGCCATCTCATCCCATCCACATTTGGTGCTGTAGGCAGTAGGACTGGAGATTCAAGAACAAGGTGTTTATTAGTCAAAGTTGGAGTTGAGTTAATCAAATCATGACTATGGATGAAGCCTAAACCAACAATCAAACTCCAAGACTGCATCATTTAGGTTTCTCATCCTAGTAAACAAAATACATATATTATGTCGAATTTGTACTGTTTTAATTGCAATGTCTATCTGTGTAATCATTGCTTTCAAGCATAACCCTGAAAGCATAAATCATAGCAAGAAATTTCATAGAATTTTTTTTAATTTTCAATTTTGGCAAAAGGCAGTTCGCCATCAAACTACATTGAGTAGGAAACTGATCTTCCATTCCCCACCTGTCTGTAGTGCGATTCTGCTCCTTCTGCCGGTAAACATGTGGCTTGTAACAAGAACTCCTGTCATTTGTCATCTTCTCATAGCTCCTATCTCGAAATGGCCGTCTGTTGTCACTCCTGAAACAGCAAAGTAGAGATGGATTTTGTTTGTGCCAGCTGAAAACATCATACTTTTTATAAATTATCAACACAGCAGTAACGTTAATGTTAGCTTTCTACGGGAATTGTAGTAAGTTATATTTAATAGTAACCTACCGATCGCTTCTGTTTTCCCGACGCCGCTCAGATTCATGATGTCTTCCTCGGTCGCCATTCCGTGATTGTCTTTCTTCACGTTCACCATAACGCGGGCCACTCCTTGGTCGCTGTACCTGGCCATTTCCCTTGAAAATACGAAATTCTGCGTCCCTCGAACTTTCCATTCTACCCAACATTTCTATCGAATTTGTGGCTGGGTAATTTAAGATCAAAATGTCGAATTATCACAGATTAAAACACGAAGGTAACCAAAACTGCAAGAGAAAATTTCTGGCGCCAGACAAATTTCGCGGGAACTGAATTTCCCAGGATGCCTTCGGAATCTTACATTATCGATATAGGTAAAGATAAAAGGACTTGATCATATCGTGTGCAAAAAGATACACTTAAAATTCTATAACTGATAAAATATATAAATAATAAAATGTTTTATACGTAAAAAGTTACTCAAATGCCGTGATTGCCTTTACTTTTTTATCTCTGTTTTTTAAATAATTGTACATATCGCCTATTCTTGCATGGACTAAACTATGCGCCACAGGATTGGCCAGGGAGTGGCTAATTTGCATATGTGTTATTTTTCGAAAATGGCGGACTTACACTACAGGCTTTTAGCTTGTTAGCTTGCTTAGCAATCTCGTGATTTTAGCTTTACCCTGCCTTTGCCTTATTTCCTCCAAAATAACTAGATGTGGACACCCTCAGTTCCTCGTATGTGCATCATAATCTGCTGATCTTGTAGTGTAGTGGCGCCGTAGCCGCCTACTTAGGCTCACTTAGGGGGACGCTTTGTGTTGTCTGACGTTGGAGCAGTCCCGAGTGTAAAAGGAGATCTTCCAGCAGCTGACCTTATCCAAAATGGCCAGTCCGCCGGTCACAGACGCTGAAATAACAGAGAAAGAGGTGGCACACGCGTGTGGTGATTGCCACGAGACACAGCAGCCTGATTCGTCTACGGAACACACGTCTAACCAGAGAGTTTTTTCCCTGGAGTTGGACCTTGCTCTTCCCATCAATGGCGGAGGGAGCGCTGTCAAGCCATCTGCCGCCCACACGAGCGACATCCGTCCCGAGCTGGTGGTGTCTCCGATGTCTGACCTGGCTATGAACGTCAGCATGTGTGAATTAAGGTCAGTATTGTGCATTTATTCAGCACAGTGTGTCGTTTCGCATACCCTCAGATCTTATGGATACTGAAGGTGTGTTTATGCAAGGACATCGTGTATAATTATGTCCTTGGTTTATGTTTTACCATGTAATATTTGCTCGTTGAGAATGATTGATCATAAGATGTAACTTCAATTAATAATCAATATAATAATAATTTTTTTTTCTCAGTGATGGAACACCCAAGCGTCGACTTCAATTATGCCTTACCCCAACCCCACAAAGGGTCGAATCAGAGACACCGGTCATCAGAAGGATTTCCTCCATCTCTTCTTACTCAGGTACAATGTGAACATGTAACGTTATAACTTTATCCTGGGTAACATCCTGGTTAGTTAACATCTGCCCCAAAAGGTGACTAGTGCAGCTGTATCTGTATAGCCGGTATAACTGCCCTTTGGCGTAACACACCTGCTAAAGCTGCAGCAGATGTAAGGGATGGTACACTACAGGATCAGATGTTTCTCCACATGTTTGACAAAAGGCATGTAAGGACATGACAGTCTTGCCTTTAACTTAGATACACCTTAGAGAGGATGGCATGTATACATTGTATATAGCAAACAACTCCAATGTGCAGCTAAAGCTTTATACAGCTTAAATTGACTTTATGCAACTCAGCTTTTATTGATCAGCTCTTGACCTGGAAGGGTGATGCTCCTAAATATATTATATATTTAACTTTTCTGAGTAAGGCCACACCGATTTAATTTTATGGATGACATCCTCTGAAGACCCCCAAACTAGTGCGCGCGGGCGAAAAAAATAAAAATCCGGCCAAAAATAAAAATGCTACAAAACCACAGGAATACAAACCTGGTATTGTGAATTTGGCGCATTACATAGCGACGTATATGACAGGCCGACACATGCTGAATTTTTGCGGAATATATGAATCGACACTGCTGTACGTATGTACTGAGTTCTTGAGTCTTGGAGCTTCGGTAGCCTGGCTGCCGTCAACCAGAGTTATCACCACCATGCACTACCCAGGCCTAAAGCCAGGCTAGAGCCTCGGAATACGTGATCTTTTTTTTTTGTTGAGATCGGGCGAAAATCAATGCGCGCGCGGATGTCATCCATAAAATTAAATCGGTGTGGCCTAAATGATAAACATCCTGTAACTTGTTCTGTTGAATGAAATCACAGCTTCCCCAAACCACGTGGAAGACTCTCCCACCATCCAGCAAATGTGAGTAGACTGAAATTTCTCCACATGTCAAAAATGATGTAAAAAAAGGAATACCGTATATGGCATAGAAGTATGTTTTCCCTTTTCAGCCAGACAGTTCTTATTATTTTGTACATGTAGTAAGGAAAAAAAGCTTACGACACCCCATGTATATACATTGTACAAATGTACAATTGTATTTACCATACACATGTCTTCCTTCAGGTTGCAGAACAGGAATCCTGCTCTAAGGTAGATCTCAGTCTACAGTACATGAACTGCTACCAAATGAACATGTTTGCCTAAACTTTTGGTCCTGGATGGACTGTTGTTTGTTTTTGAAGTACAGTTGCAATTTTCAGTTGTACAAAAATTGTCTACATTTAAAGTTGTCAACATTGTCAATTTCGCTAAATAGGTGTGATTTCACTAACTCATTACTAGACATTGACAGTGACACAAGGCTTACTGATAGATTTTTACCAGCTTGATATATTTCTTTGTGTGATAATCCTTTTTCAGAAAACCATTATCATTACGGCGCCACCAGTCCATGCCAGTAAGTACTCATCCAACTCAAGATTATTCTGTCAGTGTGACACTCTGTCAAGTACTAGTATTAAGCAGCAAAGAAGTCTGGCATGATAACCCCAGATACTACTACTACTACCGGTAGTAGGTGACTGTACAATCAGTGAAGCTGATCAGTGCTTGAATCGAAATCAGGTAGTTCAAATTACAGAATTACTTGGACAGCTTCATTAGTTAGGAGTAGGAGGTAGGAAGTATCAGGTTAGACTTTTTTTAGCAAATCCTCATGGACTGATGTGTTATGTTATGTCACTCAGGTCCATTTCCAGGGATTCAGTCAGGAGTTAGACAGACAGAAGGAGAATGTTGAGGATGTTACCTCAGGCAGCAATGAGTCAAGCCAACAGGTACGATACAGAAGTCTTGGTTGGTTACTTATGTCATTAGTACTGCGTAGCTCAATAACATGCTTATAAATGTATACTCTTCACCCTATAGTAATGGTAGAAAAATTTGGTGCAGACTCAGATCTCATGCACTTAGATTGATGATCTTAGTGGAGGAAATTATAGTCCCAACCTTTTCCATAATGCCATGATTTTCTTCTTTGTGAAGAGGAAGGAAGAAGCAGAGGTGGAGAGTCGTCCCTTTCGAGTGCCAAATAGACCTCCTACCAAACGTGGCCTGCACCTCCCGCCTCAGGTAAGGCATTGTCCATGGAACAGTGGATTCATGGCAATATTTGTGATACATTACTATACATATACATTTGTACTTGAAAACATGCAATTTATTTGTGCATATGATTAACCACATTAGTTTTCTGTGAATCTACCTGCTTAGTTTTTAATCACCAAAGTCAACCAAGCAGATGCAGCTATCAAGAGGCCTGACAATAGAACGCGTGCATACCCTGATTCATATCAGGACTATAGTGAAGGATGGGTTTCTGTTTACTGCAGTGTTTAAAGAAGTCTCCAACAGCACCAGGGAGTTTAGAAGTAGCTGCAGAGAGTTCAGCAGCTCTGCCACAGGCACCGGCTCATTTTTTTGATGTGGACAATGACGATGACTTCCTGGAGTTACTGGTGGCAGAGCAGGGCCAGGTATGTAGTAAGGAAGTCAGTAAACACACAGGATTCCACTTAGCTAGTGTGAACAGGATGTGATGATAGCCTATTTACTGCACATGTTTTATTACAGTGTAATGTGTTGGACTAAGAAAGTATGACTAAACGTACCCCGGTAAAACCATACAGCCTCCTGAAGTACAAACCTTTGCCAAGGCAGATCACCTACTGTCTCAGATTGTAAGAAATGTAAGTAAGCTTAAAGGCTTTCACATTAGAATAGTGTTCCATTTACAGGTAAGGCTGAAGTCTGGTTGTAACAGCAAGGGCATGTACATACTAGATACAGCTGTCAGCATTTCTGCTTTTGGCAAGTTTTGCTGCCCATCTATAATTTATCTTTACCCAGGCCTGTTGAAATTGTTGCAGAAATAATTCCTGAATTCAAATCTAATTTAAAAATCTCTCTCATGATCAATTACCTTCTCCAGGTTGCTGAAGAGAAAGTTTCGTCAAGTCTGATGAGTTTAATGAATGCCCCACTGCTTAGTTCTGAGGCTGGGCACAAATCTCCTGGTGAAACACCCAAGGTTTGTGCTATTATTGTGTAGCTGTACAGTACTAGCTGTGTAGAGATCTTTAAGAGAAACTTCCAGGCTTAACTTCATTGTATGTAAAGTCTTCAATGACAAAGTGTTTGACTAGGTAGACACAGATCTTCAGGTTAGTATCTTTCTGTAATATTCCAGTTAGATGTGTATATTATAAATAAAAGTGACTTCACACATCAATTGTATTGCTTGAAGAAATGAAGAATAACTTATGTTAAGCCATGTGTGTTGTGGTGTTGTCAAGTGTCTGATGTTTTCTGATATTCTGTGAAGGTTTCTGAACGGGGCCAACCACGGGGGCTTTTCCGCTCTCCGAGTGCACCCAGGCTGACTGGACTGAAGCGGTCGGAATGTTCCACACGACGTGCCAGCCCTCTCAACAAGAGGAGAAAAAGTGTGTGTGAAGATGAACCTACAGTCCAGGTGAGCTGGTAACTAAGTATTGTTACATTGCATAAACTGGAGATGCAGAAGCTAATTACTTTTTAGCTACAATAGCAATTATTAGTAAGTAACTTAGTTTTTTTCTAATTTGTGCTTTGGTTATTCCCAGCCTGTACGGTCACCTCTCTATCGTTCCCACTCCATTTGCGAGGTCGGTGGATTTTCACATTACCTGAATGCAGGTGAGCTTCTTAGGATTGATATTATGTTCTCTGTCTATTTATAAGAAATGACTAAATTTAATGTGTCACAAGGTATTTTTGGATGCGCATAACTTTGAATCAGATGATAATAAAAATTATGTACAGTATATGTGTTATGTGCAGAATTTCATCTGCATGTTTCATCTTTCAGGCGGAGAGGGCCACAACTTGATAGGGGACTTTTCTAAGGTAAGATTTCCTTAGCCAGAGCAGTTTGGGGGGTTGGCATTAGTGGTAGAACCATTCAATATTGTACATTGGAGACACACAAAGACAAAAACATTGCAGTATTGGCTCTTTTTCATCTAAGTTAAAGGTAAAAGCTAACAAATATGTGTGTAAGTCTAGAATGCTCAATTCTAAAAGAGATGATCTTTTTTTACAGCCATACTGCTTACCACTTGTTAAGGGCAAGCATCAAGACCTGAGGAGTATAACACCAGACACTGTAAGTCTGTTTCACCCTGTCTGGTATGCTGTCCCAACATGTTGTGATCAGATGTGAAGCATCCCATTAAAATGTTTTGTTTTCCTTATTTTGTCTCCATGTCTATGGTCTGTGTCTGTGTCTTAGTTATCTATCTCTAAGCTTTTTCAAATCCACCCTTCTCCACAGTTGGTTGACCTATTACAAGGTGTGTACAGTGGACAGGTACAACACTTTGAAATCATTGACTGCAGATATCCTTACGAGTACAGCGGGGGACACATTAAGGTGGGTGCAAGGATTACTTCTTGAAAGTTGTTTAAAATAGATTGTCCAGTCTTGACCTCTCCAAGACAAAAGTTAACGTAAGGCCTACCTGGGGATGTTTTATTGTTGAACGTACTTGCCATTTTCAAAAGAATACGAATAGTACATGTTAAGTTTTTATGGTTATATACTTTCCTCACACTTCATTGCACATGTTGCACACCACTGTGTCACTGTTACAACCTTACCCTTTTCAATGGTTTTACAACCTTACCCTTTTCAATGGTTTTGAATGAAACATGCTGAAATATTCTGCAAAGGTATTGGAGGTAAATCTTTGCTAACATTTTCCTCCTGTCGTTGATCTTTTTTAGGGGGCAAAGAATATCTACAGAAAGGATGAAGTTCTATCAGAGTTACTCTACAATCCACCAAAGTCTGTGGACAGTAACAAACGCCACATCCTGGTGTTCCACTGTGAGTTCTCATCAGAACGAGCACCCAAACTGTAAGTCATTATTCCATGTCTGTCGGCATCTGTCTTTTTACCGTACAGGGTTTAAAATACTTCTTTGATGTGTTATTCATAGTACTGGGTCTGTATTTGCTTAGCCTTATTCTTTCAGCCCAGAGTTACAAATTGTAAGAAATCAACAAGATGATTTTGTTTTATCCAACACATTTGTTGAATTTAAGAACAATATGTAACTACATGTATATGTCCTTCATAAATTTTCCTCAGGTCCAGATTTCTCAGGAATAAAGACCGAGATGCCCACAAGAATTGCTACCCAGGCCTAGATTATCCTGAAGTCTACCTGCTGGACGGTGGCTACAAGGCCTTTTATGAGACCCACAAGGTTAGAGTCATGTACCACATGTACCTGTACCTAAAATAGTCCTTTGTCAAGGCAGTACAAGTCACATAGTCTGTGTTGTTGTTATTGTAGAGCATGTTGACCCTCAAAGCCACACCCCAATGTTACAAAGAGGAACTGAAGTTTTTGTGTTCTTGTAATCCCACAGAGCATGTGTGACCCTCAGAGCTACACCCCTATGCTGCACAAGGACTACGGTGATGAGTTGAAGAAGTTCCGCCTGCGGTCCAAGTCGTGGGCGGGCGAGCGCCGGCCCGTGATGAGAGCAGGATTGGCCCAGAGGTTCAACTCAGTCAGGTGACGACAGGGAGCTGCTATATCCATTGACATGAAGCCACATGGATTTTTTTCTTTGGTTCTCAGAAACTTTGCACTGAGCATGAGGCAACAGGACAAAATAAGACTTCTGTAATAATTGCCAAACAGTAAGTCTAAAATTCACGTCCTGAAACCATGTGTATCATTCATTTTGAACTACAGTTTTTTTTCAAATCTGAGAACCAATGAAACAAATGTGTGTGACTTGACTGTGCAATAATGCAAGGCAGTAGGATCATCAGGCTTCCCTGTGGGAAGAACAATTACCTAAAACTGGTCACTAGGAATTTTGAGAGTTTGGTTATTATGAAAGTTAGATATCAAAATTGATGCCACAATGTAAAGAGGAGCACATTCTTTCAACTACCATTCTTAACTGTATGGTACATTGTTCAAAGCTGAAAGATATGGGCTTCAAATTCCAAATATCCAACATGCTATCAAATTTGTAGTGACCAGTGTTCTGGTGTATTTGGCAAGATTAATTCTTGCTGTTGTACCTACATGTGTATCAGTCAGCTTTTGTTACAGATGGGAAGAGTTTATGGTAGGACTCCGGTTTAGTTTTATGATAGGAAAGAATCTGCGAGCTCTGCAGCAGCAGCAGTAGTAGTTGTTAAGAATGGCATCATTTTTTAAATTTTTGTGCTACATGTATATGTCAAATTTTGATTTTCATAACTTAGAGTGGTTTGGTTTCAAAACCTACTCGTTAGTACTCGAGTGTGAAATGAGGTGGCACAAATTTTGTCCTTTTCTAGATTTGGCAATATTGACTGATTGAGCTTGGGAAGAAACAAAAGAGCCCCATGCATTGGTTACAATAATCTTGACAATGGCTAACAGCAGAACTAGTGTAATTATTTTACTAAAGTGTTCAATCAATTTAAGCGCCAAAAGTCTTGACAATCGTCAGCATATTTCACAGAGAATTTTACCCGCAGTCTGAGTAAATCCACTTACACTAATCCTGAGACAGAATTTTGCACAATCAGGTCAGACTCACCATGAGAACAGTCAGAGCTAATCATGTCTGTTTGGTTTTTTTCTGCAGCAATATGGTCAATAGTTGTTATGTCAGTTTCTTTTATAATTTTAAAAAGAGATATTGTACTAGTAAGTGTTCTGTGCAAAGAAACAAACATGATCAAAAAGTCTTGCCCACTCAAACTTCTATACTTAAATAGGCATTCACATTAGCATGTACATGTATGTCGTTAGAATTTTTATACTTTTGCATATTGATCATTAATGTTATTATTTTGGAGTAAGTGTTCTTTATTTCGCTCAAGATTAGAAAATTAAAAATTTTTAGCTGATGAATATCTGTATATTAAAAGCGCACTACATTTTTTTAATGAACTCTTGAGAATATAATCATTTCTGCTGAGCAGTGCTCTGCTATTTTGTTACAATACTTTGTTTAAACTTGCTTCTGCCTGCTCTGTTGCTAAAAGTCTCTGTAGCTATCAATATCAGTAAGAACAAGACTCATGCAACACATGCAGGTAATGATACTCAAATGTTCACCTGGTATTTGGGGACGTGGGCATATGTGATTTGGGGTACATGTCCAATGCTCCAGCATGCCAGTGAAAGCAATAGGGTTGTCAAGGTAATGTAAAGTTGTCAGGTTTATATGTGGCCATACAAGTTTCTACCATGGTACAGTGCCTAAAGATGGCAGTGACATTACATGTACATAAATGCATGTCAATAACTTAAGTCACCATGACAAAAAATTCCTAGCAAACAGAATGTAGTGGAATAAGTAGATAGAATTACTCTAAATTACTTAATATACCTCCTTATAATTAGCAGAGTAGATCTACAATCAAGATGTACAACCAAGTTACGTGTACGTCGATGAAGGTTAGACATCCAGGTAATACGATACGCCAAAAAGCAGTTACTCAAGCAACTGGATATGATTTTGAAAATCATATCCAGTTGCTTGAGTAACTGCTTTTTGGCGCAAGTTACGTGTACTTTCGTTGTGTATTAGCCATCAATTTTAAACTGACAGATTTATGTTTGTAATATGTTACATTGTTCCCATATACAAATACCTTTTATGTCATGATGCACATTGCCCGCAATACCAACACTCAGGATATGGCCAATTATGTTATTATATGCTCCCTATTGATTGTTGTGATGATATTATAATGTTTATTTGCAGCTAGCACTTTGTGTAACAATTTTTATTTCCAGTTGACATATCTCGGTACAGAGTAGAATTGAATCGATGATAGTGTTTAAAAAATAAAAGAAATGAAAGGATGACTATTTTGTTATGTGCTTTGGTTTTATTAAATTTGCCGATCCCTGCATGACGGGGAGAGAAAAATACTAATTGTTTTCTTGGATTCTTTCTTTATTCTTTCACCACAACAATGGAAACGACCCCTTAGGAGATAGTTATTAGTTTGATTGCCTACCCTGCCAACAGTTTATGGAGCCAGCTTCCTTGTACAGCTGCTGTGCAGTTCTCAAGAATCTTCCTAGAGTTTCTGCACACCTTTACCATCCTGTCCTCCGCATGTTCTCTGATTTCCAAGCAGATATAATCTGTCCAGTTTGAGTGTAAGAAAGAAGGACAGCCTGAGAACTGATACATCAAATAGTTTGAACAGACAGATGAGCCAGCATACACTCAGATGGAATGAAAATAACGGTAGCTCTAAAATCAATAGAACAATATAACGTGATAAAAGACCAGCTATATTATATATGTTCGTTCAGGGACACGAGACTAGTCGTGCTACTAGTTATCCACATGTTTACCTAAACAGGCTTTAAGTTTGCTAATGTTTTCTTACAAACTGCTTTTCCATTTTCACATAAATCTCTATGCCTATACCTACCTAGCCCTACATTCTGGTAAAACGGCTATAGGAAACATTAATCATCTTTATATTCACTGCTGACACTGGTACTTTCTTTCACCAGAGTAGAAAATAGCGTTATTTAAAGGAGTATGAAATAACATGATGTTGAATTCTCTTGTCTGCGGACAATCGTGCAGCTAGTTGTCCGCGTGTTTGTCCAAACTTGTGCCGAGTTGACCAATACGTTCTGGACAACACTGATAACGCAAAGCAATTAGGCGCCAACTACAGTCTAATAACCTGGTCTGATTGTGCCGATCCTTGGTAACCAGATACGGAGATGTTTGTCTTTGTTGAAGAAAGAAAATGATGAAAACATCAGTTTGACCGATTCGAAACAGTTAACTTTTATCTTGTAGCCCAGTCCTTGCGGATACAAAATGATGTATGGATGAAGTCGCTAACCTCACGAAGAAAAGATCCTAGGCAGCTATTTGACATTTGCACGTTTTTGTTAGTCTTTTCGGTTGTTTTGTGCTCTTCATGAGCTTGAGCTCATATACTGTTTCTCCGGTGCCCGGCTGAGACTAGTTCTGAATTGAAATTCTAAAAGCGATCAATTTTCTATGTTTTTGTCTGTGTTCAAAGCAAGTTATAATAAATACAAATTTAATTCTACTCTTGATGCAAAGCCACGTTAAGTGTCTGCAATTTACCATATCGCCACACAATATAACTGTACGATATTAAGGTACGATGTTATCGCCTCCAATCGCGGTGAGGGCTTAAGGGTGACGCCTGTCCAAACGTCGGCACGTCACACTGCGTCATCCGGTTGCGTGGAAATGCTAAACCCCCGTCGCACGATGAGGTTGATCCTAACGTTGGCGACGCGCCAGAAAGTTTTGCTTGTCTAGTCCGTAGATCCTTGGCAGAGGAAGACAGAAAACGCGCGGCACAGACATGGATCTTTCTTCCCTGCTGGTTGCTGTACTGGCGACTTGCTGGGTGTTGAGTTCAGGTGAGATGCCCCGCTTTTGTATGCACGAAGACTAAACTATAAGTTGTAGATATCTAGAAAGTAAACAAATTACTTCCTACCACGCAACAATGATGTAAGTAAGATGATTTCTTTCGAACATTTTTCTTCTGACTTGCACTTAGGTCATGCACTTAGCTCCATGCCATGCCTTTATTTTATTTTTATTGATATTAAGGCACTGGTATGTCCCATCACCGATATGATGAGTCACCGATTTGTGCGGAAGACCATTATATGCACCAATACGATAAAAATATGAAAACGGCGATACTACTATTGGATGCACTTGAATTTACATCACGGTAGATACCATTGTTACGATAGCATACCAGGTGTAGAATTAAACACATTTTCGCTACTTACTGGCCAGTTAAGCGATCGACGGACCAGTGACTTCGGCGATGGCAACGCGTAACAATCTCGCAATTCAACTTTATCTAATGTGAATCACTCATGCAGCGTTGTACTGGCTCCCTTGGCATTCAAGCTTGTACAATAACACTAAACTATCTGTCTTTCATTGTCGTTCATCATGCTACGGTGTTCTTGTTGATAAAACGATGAGCTACAAAATATTGATGAATGATCAACTTTGAAACAGAACACCTTGCCAACAACTTTCTATGTTTTAGTGACGTCAGTGTTGGACTGACGTGTATCTATGACAACAATAACATGTTGAAAGACTCATCATGTAGATTATCTTCGTCGGGTCAAATTTCCCTGATTTTGTTTCCAAAATCACGCTTTTGGAAGGGCAACAGATATAGCAAACATTCGGCCAAATCTCTGATAGTGGTACGACAACTCTAACAATGCCTGTGATATCATGTAAACGCTCAAGGTTTATCCGTTAATTTTTTCAAATATCAATTGACGAGAAATACAGCAATACTGCAAGCATCCAGAACAATTAGGTTTTTCTCGCACATGCCTCCTGATAACACCAATAGTCACAAGAGGTATAATTATTAGAGAAAGTGTATATCTGTGACGTTTTCTACAGGTTGACTCGTCCTTTCTATAAAAGAATACCCGAATGCTTTGCCTAAATATTTTCAAGAAATTAAAAAAAAGTGTGTCTGATGTACATTACACATGTATATAGCATAACATTGAGTTTGTTGTTACACTTGTTGTTCCATGATCTGTTTGCCTCCACCGCTGGTGATCCACACTAACACCGGTCCGTACGAGTTCACGTCCCCGAACTACCCGCGCCCCTACCCCCGCAACAAGTACTGCGAGTGGCTGCTGGAGGCGCCCGTGGGGCAGAAGTGCAACCTGACGTTTGTGGACTTCCACCTGACAGGAACCAACTTCTGGGGGAACTGCCCGCACACGGATAAGGTGCAGATCTACGACGGAACAGACGCGAGCGCCAACGTCACGCTGTTCGGCACGTTCTGTGAAAAGGATCAGCCGACGGGTGAGTACGAGTCCAGAGGGAGGCACCTCCTGGTGACGTTTGAAAGTACTACCATCAACTACTTCAGCAGGGGCATAAAAGTGCAGTATGGATTTTCTCCGTGTACAGGTATGTGGCTGTAACTAGTATTGACCTCGTCTTCATCAGTGATAACCTCATAAAAAGTTTTTCGAAACTAGTGGCTAATTTTATAATAGTCACAATTTTAAATTTTAAACATTCATCAATTCAATCACAAACAAAATCTGATGAGTGATCAGTATAACAATTTTCAGTCAAATCCATAGTTATTTCACGTCGGTTTTCTGATAATTTTCCTGGGTGAAAGCGAAGTAGGTTGAACAGACGAGCTTATAGACGTATTTCCTTATCACGTTCCACAGACGCATACGAGTGTGCGTCCAATCCGTGTCAGAATGGAGGCACGTGTGTGGAGGCTCGGTGTGGATATAACTGTACCTGCACCAGGAACTACGCCGGACCAACGTGTCAGACAGGTGGGTGAGACAGGCGCTTTGGCTCACACGATTTATGTCGTCATTTCAGCATTCAATTCCATGAGAAATTCGTATTTAGAATGTATAGCTAAAACGGAGGGTGAGTACATCACAAAACGTGAGAAAAGAGAGAAAGAAAGAAAGAAAACATTCAATATTATTTTGCATTCTATTGGACTGAAATAGTGAGTAATATGGAATCAAAACATTCATATTGTAACATAAGTTACGCTTGATATAGCTAACGTACTTATTGTTTAACGAGCCTTGACAATGCTTCTAGAGGGCATATGAAGAAAGCTATAATTGTTTTTCTTCTACTGGCCGAGTTTGGTCCACATAGACCTGTTCTCCTGGGATATTACACAGTACGTGCGAATTGGTTAGTTAGTCGAGTGTTTGCTGTCCACAGTTACAAGTCATTCGCTATAGAATGTTAATGGCTTCAATAATCTCGACCCCAGATTAACGGCACAAGGCTCTTTGTCTCTCTGTGTGCCCGTACGGAAATGTCAATAATAAAGTAGGTCATTCGTCATTTCCTGTTATCGGTGGGACCTCCCAATAATGCAGAAGCTGATCGAATAGGTTGGGATTTAAGGAGCAAAACATGTCCTCACATTAGGGGACTAAAAGCGTACTGATAAACCTTTTCTTAATACTCTGAAGTCCATTTTACCAAAATATTGTTGAATTATTTCTTTTGTTGAAAACTGGACAAGACAAATATACGTAGCCGAGACATTTATAGTTATTTCATATGCAGGCATGTAATTAATTTGGGCAGGACATTTCTATAGTTTTCATATTAGGTTGATTCACATTACAACTTTTCGGTTCGATCCGTACTCGCGATGTGTAGAGTTGCCGTGCGCCTCGAGCCCCTGTCCGCCCGGGACTGCCTGCATCAACCTCGGGGACGCCTTCTCGTGTACCGAGCCTCCTACCGCCCCTACACCCCCGACAACCACCACGGAACGGGCGACCACTACTCAAATCACGACACCGCCTCCGACGACAACAACTACAAAACAATCAACCACCACGCAGACCACAACTCCGATACTTCCCACCACCACAACAAAACAATCGTCCACATCGCAAAGCACCCCTGCATCAACTACAAAGGAATCAGTGGTAACGTTGCATTCACATTTACGGTTCTTTATAGGCGACGACCCATACACCGCTGTTACCACGTTAAAACATTATCCTTGCACATACATAGGGATGTTGCTGGGCGTTTCCAACCAAAGTGTTTCTCAGTATTTAAAAAACGCCAGTTGATTACCTCATATTACCAATGGAACTGGTATGCAACACCACCTAGCGGGCCGTCAATGTAAAACAGCCTGGGCATGTCCTTGGTGCTGAAGGTAATTCTTAATCTGCATTAACTTGCTTTGAACTATGTTGAAAACATACAAACGCAGCTCTTCCATTTTAGATGGACAATATCATTTGAATATTATTAATTTGCACTACTCAATCTTAACCCCTCACGACATTACAGCTAACTCTGTATACTCAGCTAACTCTGTATACGGCCTTCAGGGCACACAACCTTCTTCAAAATACCAAAGCAAAAACTCTTTTTAAGGCATTTCCTTTGTCTTCTCTCCTTATTTGTATTTTTTGGCAAACAGACGACAAAGGCCGAAATAGTTTCGACCAGGAGCCAAGTAACCAGGGGAACGAGTGCCACTGATAGGACTACGTCGACGTCAGACGATCCGATAACCACACACAGCACATCGGCACCGAAGACGCCACCCCCGGGCGACAAGCAAACTGCAGCCAAGACAACCGACTCACCCAAACCCCAGGGCCTGACGGGACAGACGGCGTGTGAGGCGGACGTGTGGAACTTCTCGGACTGCGGCTGGCCCTGGTGGCTCATCCTGGTGGTGGCCGGGCTGGGGGTCGCCATGATCGGCACCGCGGGCGGGATGGCGTACAGGTAATGTTATTTTGACCCACACATGATTACTTATTTACAGAGCCTTACGATTATTAAATCCTATTGAAAAAGAGAAGTCAGCATTGACAAATCTGTTTGATATGTGACTACAAGAAAGCATGTACACTACAGGGCGTATTCTCAGTTTTACAACTTAACGATAACTGTTACGTTCCTGGCTTCTGCAGACTTATAAACGTCGTATTCACGATGAAGAGCTAGTTGTTGGTAATAATTTATTTTCTCAATGATTCAGACTCTTTCACCTACGGACGTTTTTTTTGCCCTCAGGTATTGTAAGCGGAAGAAGACGGACCGTGTAGTGACGCCCAGGTCCGTGGCAGGCGTGCACCTGGAACTGACGGACGTGGACGACTGAACCTCACGCGCAGGTCGAACTATTGGAACATTTTATCAAGAGGATTCTCATAGAAGTTTATATCTGAATAATCATTTTTATTGATTGATTGATTGATGATGATGATGATGATGAATGGTTTATTGACATAAAATCCATCGCAGCCCGCAGGCTGAATTGCGGATTCCGATTACACATAGGGCTCAATTGACAATAAAACAATGGGTCAATTATCCTATATATAAGTATAAAAAGAAATAACGTTGATGGATAAAATTTAGCATTTATACAATAATAGGTTTATCAGACGGTATATTAAAAGCTTAATCCTTAAAAACATTAACTATTTGATTAAGTATTTAAAAGGCGAACAATGTAAGCTATTGGGGAGTTCCTGAGTCGTTCAGTCCTACATTTAATTGGTCGATACTTGTTTGTTTGTTTGTTGGCTGGTTTGTATTTGTTGGTTTGTTTGTTCTTGAATAGCAAACAGGATGATTCAAATGTTATGAAAAGATTTCCATGGGTTTTGTAGGCATTGTTGCGTGTAAATCAATGTAGATGTATGTATTTGAGCAGAGCTAGCCACAGTTACAGTTACACAGCTATGCTCTCAATGAGCTAATGAAATGAAGTCTGTTCTCACGTAGATGTATCCATACATGTGAGAATGTGTGTAAACAAGAGAGGCAAAGGCTTGTCTACGGAACGTTTCGGTACAGCTTCGCATGCAATGGTCCTACCAAATCAAAGTAATTTAAGGGACTACTGTATTGTCTTGGAAATATGTTGTACGACTCTCAACAGAGGAGAATACATTCAGCTTTGTGCTGTAGACTCTTGTGTGCTAGAACATTAAATGCGTGATACAATATTGTTTCCATACAACTCAACTCTTTGTATTTGTGCGGTTTTGTCTCCAATAACAACTACTAGTATTATTAAATCTACCCGATATGCCGTAACGTGATCTTACTGCGCACGGATTGTTTTCCACCTGATTTTCCGTTACCATAGCAACGAATTATGCATACATCTTCGTGACCTGTCCATAATATACTGGGTGGATTTTGAAGTGATAACACCCTACTCTGTGTATCTGTATCTACAGTGAATAAAGACGTTAACGGATGTACTTTACAAAGTTGAAAGTCTTGGCTGCCATAGTACGATACTTTCGGTCTAGTCCATTGAATGATATCGAAGCTGTTGAGAAAGTTTTTTTTTTCATCTAAGTTTCCAAACAACTCATGTATTTACAAACACGATTTCAAACCCTTTACCCATAACAGTTTTCATAAAGCACTATACATTTGAGGCGCCGTCACTTTTATAGAATGGAATTCACTCATGGAAGTATACAGGTTTTAAATGTGACAAACCGGCGTGATAAAGCATTCAATATTGACCACTTTAGATTTTTAAAAAAGTTATGTTACTGGCTACAGGCAATACAGTCATTAGTTGTCATTTGACGTTTCCAAGAGCACCATTTTCTCTGTTTCGTGTCAAGACTTCAAAACTTTTGGCAGCTTTAAAATTCCATAATGAATGTCTTAACATGTATTAAAGTGACACATGTGAATATAATGTTTATTCTGATACGCAGCCTCAGTTCACGAGCACTCCCCAGTCTCTCTCCGGACCGGTCCGGCCACGGGCGCGTCCGGCAGGAAGGTCCTGACTGTCCGCCTGCTGCTGAACCTCACCAGCACGCGCCTGGGGCCCGACGGTCTGTCCAACATGTCTTCTGTCGTCTCTTCCACCTCGCGTTCCACCGCTTGGATGGTGGCAGCTGATGTGTTTAGTGGAACAGATTCTTTAGGGGATGAATAGTTTTTACCCTGCTTTGCTTTCTTTGTTTTACGTCTTTTGTTTCCTTTTGCAGTTTTTGGTGGCATTTCGTCGTCTCTGATGAACAGAAGCTTCCCCTGCAATAGGGACGATTGATTAGGAAGTTTGGTCTCATCAATATTGACTCTGTCCTTCCTTTGTTTTGTGAGTTTGTCCACCTCGGGCAGACGGGGTGCCGTTCTCATATACTTTCCGCAGCGTGAACACCGCGGCTGTCCCTGCCCGGGGTCCGCCCAGTCCACCTCATGTAGACAGTCCTTTCTCTTCTGTAGTCTGAACTTCGAGATGACGGACGTCAGGAATTCTAGGCGCACATTTAAGTCCTCTGCCTTGGCGTTGTTTGTCCCTATTGGTTCCAACGTTATGTGAGGATTGCTCTGTTCAGAATTCGGTTCGACGTTGCGTAGGTTTGGTAGGTTTTTCGGTTTCTGCTGAATAGGATGGTTGAAAATATCCGCACTGGTCTCTTCCTGCTTCTTGGGCTGGTGCAGTGTGAGGGGCTGCCCGCGGACTGAAAACCCCGTCTCGTCATCCGTGTTGATTTTCAGCAGGTCGTGGTTCCAGACGAAGATGCCCTGGCGCATGCACGAGCGGCCTCTGGTCAGAGGCCGGGCCGGGTCCCTGCCCACACCCACAACTGTGTCCATCCTGTGTTCACCAGTAATCAGCGCAGATAAGGCGAGTGAAGTTAATCGGGCAGATAGGGCAGAATTTGGTCAAGGCTTGGTGGAAACTAGTCCATCTTGGCGCCGATCGCCGGGCGTGTTTTGTTGTCCGGTTAGAGGTAATTAGTGAGGGCTGACGGGCTGAATTGGCTGGTCATTACTTATCATGTCTCCTGGTTCAGTGGATCTGCGGAAACAAGTGGGCAGAAACGTGAGCAGATGTAGAGTAGGTCTCCGAGATTTGGTTTGTTTCCGGTATGTAAGGTTGACAACCTCTGTCTTATGCACCAAAAATAACAACAAACGAACAAACGTAAAGACAAAATGACAGACAAACATGGAAATATAAACGCTGGAACAACTCGTCAGATGAAACAAATCGACTGTATCTCCTGAAAATGTACCAATTGAATGAAGTCCAGTGGCATCTCGAAAACACAGGTACTATCTTATATTATTGTTTCTAAAGGTTTTGATAATGTTGAAAACATACAGAAGCAAGTCAAAACCAAATACATAAGCTCGGTCAATGAAACCCGATCACTTGCATACCATAGCAGTCGGAAGCGAAGAAAATTAGTCAATTTTCTTTTTGTAATGAAATTACAGCCACACACTAGAACACATTGTCCATGCAAAATTAGAATGGCTTAAGTTTCCGCGATACAAATAAATATACAGTCAACTGGATACTTATCCCGATTTAAAGTAAAACGCAATTACAGACTTAGAATGAAGTGCAACTTTCTACCCGTAAAACCATAAAGGCTCGTACAGTGCAAACACGATACTTGTGCGGCCTTACATGACAGAGAACAGCCCCACGCCTCGCAACAGTGAAAGTGGCGTCTGCAGGATAAAAACCGCGGTGGTCCGGAGAAGAACCCTTGACTGAATGGGCCCTCGACAATGACTCACAACTCTTCACTTTACCACACAATGGAGCTGTTTGCCCAGCGGTGAAGTGTTGTTCGTGATCTGACACTGCTGTACCCACAATATTGTACACACATATTGTTCAGTCAGAAATTTATATAAAAATAGCCTCGACATGATATGACCGATCCAAAAATAGCACAGACTGAAATTAACTTGTCAAAACCAAACTGACATGTGGCAGCCACGACTTCTAGAAACAGACAAATATTCGGTATCATTTCCGCAAGTTTCACTTGTTCATAGTGAGTTTCTCCGTTCAATTGTGAGAAATGCCTTTTTTTGGACCTCTATATTTCCACACAGATTTACTGGTTCACACACTCGTGAGACCCATGCACCAACATTAAGCACACATACCAGAACTTAACAGAAATATGTTACCTTTCTGTGATGTGATTAACTCGCCGTTCCTTTTACAGGGGCCAGTTTGACGTGTTCGATATAAAACCTTCCTTACCTGAATACAAATGTTGCCGGTCCGCACAGCCAGAGTTGAGAAATCGATTTTCCCTGCTGCTGTGTCCCGCCTTCTCTCACACGGCCTGACCCGCAGACTCAAGTCACCCAGCCGCGCACACCTGTTAATCCTGCGGACTGGCGAAGTCATTGCACTGGAAACGTTTCCTGAGGAAACGTAGAAGCGCTAAACAAGCATGGCCCGTCCGTTCTTGCTCCGATTTTCTTCTGGAGGAAAATATTCCAAGTGTTCAAGGCTAGGAACGCCTGTTCCTGTTGGCCCTGGCAAAGCGGCGTTACCGTAGCGATACCGGACAGGAGCGCCGGGAATGACTTATAAGTGCGCTCTCGCTCTTCTG